AACACGAAGAAGGTTCAAGATCAAGCCACCAAACGCAGAGACAAAAGAAAAGCACTACGGAATCAACCAGCGTTCATGCAGCGTCCAATGTGACCTACGTCCTGTGCTGTGGCGACGTCGACAGTCATCAACGCCACCGCCACCACCATCATCACCACCACCACCACGCCCATGGCACAACAAGACGAAGCAAACTTCATCGTCCTCATCGTCGGTTGCTGCTCCGAAATTCGCTTGAAATCATTCACCAATCGCCAACAACGAGCGGTGGTTGCCAGCAGACAAAAGAGCAAAGCGCAAGCAAGCGAAGAGCAAGCAAAGAGCAAGCCAAGAGCAAGCCAAACAAGATGATGCTTCTTCGTCTTCCACGTCTGCTTTGCCCTGGTGCTCCTCGTCTGGCTCCGCTTCGTGCGCAACATGTCGCTCGACACGCTCGTGATTCCGTGCGCCATGCAACTGCGCTTTCGCTGTCCACCCGTTCTGACTGCGCACTGAGAAGCGCTGCATGCGCTTCAACACCAACAACACCAACAGTGAGGTCTACACATCGCTTGCACACGCTCGCAACGACAAGAACGCCACCGACAGCAACCACAACAGCAACCACACCAACGTACCCAGTGCTGCTTGCACACCCGCGTCGCCACATCACGACGGGTTCCGGCTTGCGCACGACATGGATGATGCGGCTGCTCCAGTTTTTGAACCGCGCCCACTGGGTGTCAGACCGTTCCAGGCTGGAGTGGTTCCCTCCCTTTTTCGTGATGCGGGTCAAGGTGCTCAAGATCGAGGACGGCTGGCGCAAAGTGCACATGAAGCTGCCGCTCAACACGCTGTCCAGGAACCCGGGAGGTGTGATGTTTGGCGGCTACCAGGTGGCGGTGGCCGACCCGGTGCCCGCCATGGCGTGTGCCCGCGTCTTCAAGGAGTACTCGTGCTGGACACGCGCCATGACCATCGACTTTGTTCGCGGCGGCACCACGGACTTGGAGATGCGGTTTGAGTTTCCCGAGCACTTTGAAGAGGAGATTCGCCAAGAGCTGAAGGAGAAAGGGCGTGCAACGCCTACCTTCCACTACAACTTCTACCTCAAGACAGGCGAGCTGTGTAGCCGCGTCACCAACACCGTTGCCATTCGCCCAAAGGGATACATCAAGGCCGTCACACCACCAGCTTCCTCAGACGGCTTCTAGCATAGAGAGAGAGTGTGTGTGTGTATGTGTGTGTGTGTATGTGTGTGTATGTGTGTGTGTGCGTGTATGTGTGTATGTGTGGAAACCTCTGTGTCAGTGTGTGTATGTGTGTGTGTATGTGTGTGTGTGGGTGTGTGTCGGTGTGTGTGTCGGTGTGTGTGTGTGTGTAACCTCCGTGCGCATGCGTGGACACTGATTTGGATTCCTGCTTTCATTGTGTTGAACTAGCTCGCCCTTCTTGCCTGCCTTTCTCCTTACCTGCCTTGCTTCTTCGTAGCTTCGTGTTACATACCCGAGTACCCGCGCTGCGCTTTGCAAGCGTTTCATAGCAACATACCACTGAACGAATGACATCTCTGCATTCATGCCTCACGCTTGCCTTGTTTGTTGATTGCAACGGTCGGCAACGGATGGAGGAGGCAGGGAGGCGTGACGTGGGGGGGGGGGGGTTGAACGAACACACAGGACGAGGTCTCACGAACCGATGATGCGCGCATGTTTGATTCATCCATCCAACATGTTTTGGGACATTGAGAGATTTCTTCTTGACCATGAGAAATCCTCGCGCGATGTGAGGATCAAAAAGTGGCAGGGAAGTCCACCCACTCTTCTTTGCAGTGGCGGTTGTTTGGCTCCATCCCACAGTCCCACGCGAACAAAGACCAAACACGCACAGCGCGCGCACAGACAACGCTCTCCACAAGTTCACACACAAAAAACAATAACACACAGCACGACCACAGAAGCCAACCCAAAGCATGACTCGCTTGATGGCCGGCAAGACCATCGCTGTCCTTTGCCTTGTGGTGGCGGTCATCACACCGCCATCAGCAGCAGCACTAGCAGCACCGACAACAGCAAATGCAGCCAATGCAACCACAGAGACAGCCGCCTGGCTCCTCAGTGGACCTTGCTCCCGTGCACAACAAGAGCCAACGGCTTGGGTGGGCGTGGGATGCAGCGCACAAGCAGACTCATGTACCAGCGTCCGCTCATCGATTCACGCGCTGCTCCGATCCATCCAATCCCGCGAGCAGCACTGCGCCTCTAGCGGCAACGGTGACAGCGAAAAGAACGGCTCCACTGGTAAGTTCTTAACGGCGCTGTGGAGCAAAGTGTCCCGTTCGCTGTGTTGTGTTGTGTTGTGTTGTGTTGTGTTGTGTTGTGTTGTGTTGTGTTGTGTTGTGTTGTGTTGTGTTGTGTCTGTGTGCTCTTCATCTGCGCTCGGTGATGTGTGCCTCATAATGCTGTAGTCTTGTTTGTATTGCTCCCACACGGTCACACATGCCCTCTCACACACATACATACACATACACATACGCACACGCACCACTTTCAGAGCTCTCTCACTTGCGAACTATCGAGGCGTTTGTCAACCAGTACTGTCCTCCTCCAACACCTCCATCATCACCGCCACCGGCACCACCTCGGCTGCCAACTCAGCCACCACGGGACCTGGAGCTGGAGGTGCAGCGCGTGCGGCGTGCCAGCACAACCACGAAGTTAACAACGACCACGACAACAACAAGCACGACAACCACAGTGTCAACAAGGCGTGCACGACGGTTTACAAATCGCGCTGTTGTATGCACCCTCACTCGGTCGCTGTCCACTCCATACGACTGCACCAACCCTCGTCGTGATGCGGTTCGGATGTTGCTTAAGATTGAAGGAAACGGCTCTCCTCTGCCCTCTTGGGATGAGAGCTCGCAGCTCACGTTCCAATCCAACACAGTTAATCCCACAACCCCCACGAACCTCATCATCGAAGGGTCTGTGTTCCTGGAGGACCTGGTGTGGCTGCTTCAGTTTCGCTGGGATACGGTCACCAACATCACCATCCGCGGCTATGAGGGCGTCGAGTTTCCGCTCGCTGTCCTAAATGCCATGACCAACGTGCACACCATCGACCTTGCAGGCAACGACATCACGCGCCTCGTGCCCACAAACGCGGCTGTTGACAACAAGAACTTTACTCTCGGCGACAGCATCACCACCCTCGATGTCACCCGCAACAGCTTGAGTGAGCTGCCACAAGCCACGCTCGCTGCTATGCCCAATCTCACGCACCTGACTTGGGACGGCAACCAGCTTGCCGAAATCGAACCGGGCGTATTTGCTGCAACAACAAACCTCACCACTCTCTCCTTACGCGATAACCGCATATTGAATGTTGTTGCAGGCACGTTCGCTCACCTTAACTCACTGCGTGACCTTGACCTCAGCGATAATCGCATTTCAAGTGTTGCAGTGGATGCCTTTGCCGGCCTTTTTTCCGTGGTTGTCCTTCATCTCAACGATAATCGCATATCGAGTGTAGTTGCGCACACCTTTGCTGACCTTGTCTCCCTGCGTGAGCTGGACCTCAGCAACAACCGAATCTCCAGCATTGCTGCCTTCGCCTTTGCTGGTCTGACGTCTCTGGTGGAGCTTCACCTCGGCAACAATACTGTCTTCGAGGTTGTTGCCGATGCGTTCGCCGATCTTTCGTCTCTGCCCAAGCTTGATCTCAGCAACAATCGAATTTCAAACGTCTCTGCACTTGCCTTTGCTGACCTTACATCCCTCACGGAGCTGCGCCTCAGCAACAATCGCATCTCTAGTATTGTTGAGAATGCCTTTTCGGGCCTCACATCTCTCATGACACTGGACGTCCATTTCAATCGCATCTCCACACTCGACGAGAACGCGCTGATCTCAACTTTCAAGCTCGAAAGCCTTAACCTCGACCACAATCCCGTCGACACCTTCCCACCACGACTGTTCGTTAATCTGACTCGCCTTAGCCATTTGCGGCTGACAAGCACACGCGCCACTACGTTGCCAACAAGCCTGTTTGAGCACAACACACGGTTGCGAGAGCTGTGGCTGTTTCACAACAGGTTCACGGAGATTGAGGTTGGCACCTTTGACAAGCTCACCCGCCTCGTCTTCCTCACGCTCACGGGCAACGACATCACGCACCTCCCTTCCATGCTGTTTGCACGACTGACGCGCCTCAAAGAGCTCTACATCTCCAACAACGACGTTCGAACCGTGGACCCAAACGCATTTCGTGGGCTGGAGAGCCTTACCACCCTTACTCTCGTCAGAAACAGAATCAACGATCTCCACGCAGACACCTTCACCACCGCGACTGCATTAGAGAACGTGGACCTGAGCGACAATGATCTTACCATTCTGGACCACAACCTGTTTGGTAGCTCCCCGCGCCTGACTGAGCTTGTGTTGTCCGGCAATCATCTGACGCAATTCGACCACTTGCCGCTGCCCGGACTCAAAGCCCTCCGCATCCACGACAACCCACTCGTGGAACAGCCTGATACAGGCATCTTTCCCAGCCTCGCCACGTTGAGCATGAACAACCACCATGTGCCGTGGGTCAACTTCACGCTCGTGTTTGTGCTGCCATACCTGACCACACTCGAGATGAGCGCCGATCCAAGCTTTGGGGTGGCGCGTATGCTTCCCATTCCAGAAATTGAGGCACGCACTATCAGCGCCACACCTGTTAACAATGATGACAGTGCAAGTGGTGATCACAACAGCCTTCTGCCTCTGCGTGTGCTGGATGTGCGGAACATTGAACTGTTGTCGCAATTTGACCAGGTTGCGCGATCACATCGCTTGCGTCTCACGCGATTCGCTGCGGGCTGGCCGGGCATGACCAACGCCACAATCCCATCCGATTTGCTGTGCCATGCACTCGACAATATCGTGGACGAGTTCACGCTGACCAACACTGGCTACACGAGCATCGACCTGTGCCCAAACAACGAATTCCGTGCCGTGTTCCTGCATGAGAACGCACATCTGCACACGGTACACATCCACAACCCACTGCAGCAACTCAGCCTCTTTCGCTCTGAGAAGATGGAGACACTGCTGCTGCCACGCGCCGACGTGATTGACCTCTCCTACACAAACGTTGCAGCCATTAGTCAGCTGTGTCAGGAATGGGGTTTGCGGGCCTTGTTTTATCGTGGGGTCCGCAACCCATTGCTGAAAGAGCGCGGCCAGGAGCTGCTTCGGCGCTGCTTGCGGAATGCTGAAGTGGCGACAGCAGATGGTTGCGGAACCTCAACCAAATCCAGGACGAAGTGCGCCGCCCAACCATCCTCTCGGCACAGCAATTTCAAGGAGAGGATCGCACCAATCTGCACAGCCGCTCAGTTGTGCCTGTCATCACAATGCAGAACACGCCTGTGCAGTGCCGCATTGACTTTCTCAACCAGAACGTGCGGCCCGCTGATCAACCGGAGACGATCCAGTCCCAACTTGCCTACAATTTCCGCTGCCAATGTGGCAACGGGTACATTGTTCGTGGTGGCGAGTGTGTGGAAGAGACAGAAAACGTCGCTGGCGTGGCTGCTGGCTCTGTACTTGGCGGCCTAGCCATTGGCTTGCTGATGGCCTGGCTGTCACGCCATTACCGTGGCCTCACCAAGCGCATCGGCCTGCAGGAGCAGCTGTTGGTGGAGATGGACGAGGAGGTGATGGCGTTGAAGAAGGCGTGGGAGATTGAATACGATGAGCTGAGGATGATCAAGCGAGTGGCTGCGGGTGCTTTTGGCGTTGTGTTCAAGGCAGAGTGGGACACGGTGACGGTGGCAGTCAAGGTGCTGCAGCAAGGGCTGATGATGTTTGACGAGAGCACGGTGTTGGAGTTTGAGAAGGAAGTGGAGTTCCTGCAGCGGACACGGCACCCCAACGTGGTGCGGTTCTTTGGCGCGGGCACAGATCCCAGCGGCAGCCCGTTCCTGGTGCTGGAGTTTGTGGCCATGGGATCACTCAAGGACCTGCTGGGGAAGGACATGGAGAAAGTGTTGGTGGAGGTGAACGAGAACGGTGATCCTAGCGGACCAGGACAGTGGGTGACTGCAGAAGATTTGGATGAGGAGCTGACGTTGGTGAGCACAGCACGCGACAGAAGAGATGAGACGATGACTGTGTGGGAGTTGAAACTGCGCCTGCTTCGCGACGTCGCCAGTGGCATGGCTTTTATCCACAGCCTCGACCAGATGCACCGGTGTGTGTGTGTGTGTGTGTGTGTGTGTGTGTGTGTGTGTGTGTGTGTGTGTGTGTGTGTGTGTGTGTGTGTGTGTGTATGTGCATGTGTATGTGTGTATGTGTGTGTGCGTGTGTGTGTGTGTGTGTGTGTGTGTGTGTGTGTGTGTGTGTGTGTGTGTGTGCGTCTGCGTCTGCCAAAAGATATCTATCCTGCTTCCGCCAAGCTCACTCAAGCACGCCACCCACCAATACCCTCCAAACAGAGACCTGAAGAGCGGCAACGTGCTGGTGTCATCATCGCTTCGCGCCAAAATTTCGGACTTTGGATCCATCCGCCAGTGCTTCACACGTGACAGAAACCAGCACCAGCAGCGCACCCGCCTCTCCTCCAGCCATGATCCTGCTGATCCCCAGTACAGCCAGCAAGCTGGCTTGCAGACGATGACAAGCATATCGCTGACGGCTGGCGTGGGTACGCCGCTGTACATGGCACCAGAGGCTTTGACAGGCGACAAGTACAGCTTTGAGGCTGACATCTTCAGCTTTGGCGTGCTGATGTGGGAGGTGGCCACACAGCGACCGCCGGACCTGATTGAGCAGGAGAAAGGGAGCGGATATCGTGGCCCGATCCTCGCCACGCTTTTCAGCTTGTTGGCAGAGGGGAAGCGATTGCGGTTTGAAGACAGCGGACAAGACGGTGTGTGTCTGTGTGTGTGTCTGTGTGTGTCTGTGTGTGTGCGTGTATACGTGTATGTGGTGTGTTCGTGCGTGTGTGCTTGGATTACTTGCTCGCAGCGTCCTTCTCTCCTCACCCGCGCACGCCTCTCCCATCACAGCCATCCCCGAGTGGTTCAAGTCGCTGACGTACAAGTGCATGGCGCAGGACCCACGTGAGCGGCCGTCGTTTGGAGAGCTCAAGGACCACCACCTTGCTTGACGTCGGCATTCTTGGCGTGCTTCAGTCTACGCCGTGTGCGCTGTTCCATTGATTCCTTTTTCTCCGTGCGTGCATGTATGTGTTTGCTTCGTTCTTTCTCTTTGCGGCCGTGTGGCCTGTGGACGCGCGCCTCCAACGTTGCTGAACCTGGCTCGCCCTTCTGGCCTTCTCCTTGCCTGTTTTCCTTGCTCGCCCTTGTCCTCGCAACACCTCGAGGCGTTTTGCTTGCAAGCATTTCTCAGCATCACAGTACATACTCCATATGTTCCACAGTTGATGAAGTGCTTCGTTCAAGCATGTCTCTTCTTCCTGCTTGCTTCTTCCCCATGTTGAGCTGCCGCCCACATCTCGCTTATTACGTTGCGCATCCTTCCATACACAAGTGTACGTTTCAAGGTGGAGAGGTTTCTGGCATTTGTTTCAACATGCAGGCTGAAGCACGAAAGTCTCCACACAATGTACCACCAGCACAACAGGCACAATCAGGCAGAACAACGGTGCCATGCGGAATCAGACAGAAGGGGCAGGAGGCATGATCTGATTTGATGGAACAAGGGAAACAAAAACAATGACGGAGAGAGATGATCGCTCTGAAGCTCTGTGTCGGTGCACCCCCTGCACTTGCAACACTCCTTTACTTCCTGCCATTTTTCTTCACACGAAGTTCGGCTGCTGTGTTGTGTCTTCTTCGATTGAACATGTATCGCTTACACGCATGAACGAGTGTCGCAAACAAAACAACACTTCCTCATGCAATAATGCAAGAGACGTCAAGAACAGCAGCAAGCAAGCAAGCCAGTCCAACCTCCCCCCCCCCCCCCAAAGCATGTGTCAGCATAGGGCGAGGCGGCTGGCCAGCTCATTGAAGCGCTGGCGGACGCGCTTGTCGTACAGGCCCGTCGCCCTCTTCCTCCTCCTCCTCTGCTGCTCCTGCTGCTGCTGTCGTTGCTGCTGTTGTTGATCGGTCTCGGCACTGCGGTTGAAGTCGTGTTGGCCGACATCACCGTTGTCCGCCATGGCGATGCGCTGCAGCCAATAGCGCCAGATCCGCCGCGACATGCGCGGTGCGTGCGTGTCGGGGTGACAGCCTTGCTGCTGCTGAAACACGAGCACGTTCACGTACAGCCGGCCGTCTTGGCTGCTGCGCGCGCACACGGTTGCGTCTGCGCGCATCGTGGGCATGTAGTAGAACACAAACTCGTCCATGCTCAGAAACGTGAGCACGCGCGTGACCAGCGTGGACACGACCACATACAACGCACGCGTGTGTTGCGCCACAGCCGCTGTTGTCTCTGCACTGCTGTCCCCAACACGACACTCAGCCGGGACATGCAAGTCCACGGTCACATCCTGCGCCGAGCTGGTCATGTCACTCTTGCAGCCTGAAAGGGGCAAGCACGTGCCATTACGTGTGCGTGTGTTCAGTTGTGAGTGCATGTGTGTTTGCATGTGTATTTGCACGTGCCATTACGTGTGCGTGTGCGTTGAGGTTCAGGTGTGACATGCAAATGCTGACAAACATGGAAGAAGAAGAAAGCATGCCAGGTGCCCCCCCCACACACACCTGCGATTGGGATGGGCGCGAGTCCCTGGCTAATCTGGTTTGCGATGGTGACGGCAATGTCTGGAAGCTGCAGCTGCACGCGGGGCGTCTCGACGCTCGCGACAAAGTGGTCCATCTCCTTCACCCGCTCCCCGCCCATCTGGCACATTGTGGTGCATGTGTGTGTGTGTGTGTGTGTGTGTGTGTGTGTGTGTGTGTGTGTGTGTGTGTCGTTGATTGAACATGAGACGATGCGCTAGATTCCACGGCACCACGGGACAGAGAAGCAGAAGAAGAAGAAGAAGAAGAAGAAGAAGAAGACAGGTAAACAGGAGCCAAGCATGCCAACCCGTTGTCCAAGTACTTTGTGTGTGTTGCGGAGTTTGGCGCCGACAGCCGCGGTTTCAAACATGACCGACGCGGTCACGTGCTCTGCGAGCTGCACACCACATGTCGAAGTGAGTGAGAGAGCGAGTGTGTGTGTATGTAGGATGGGATGGTTTTGCCAGGACTGCGTGCGTGAAGGAACACCATCCTTCAAGGCCGTCAACCAATGGATGAGCATTGCGTACGTGTGACACGACCACACGCAAGCCAGCAAGCTAGCGTGTCACGTCAACCACCACAAGACGCACCTTTGTTGGTTGTTTGCCTGCAGGCAATGGGACGTCGATGGTTCTGTCCTGGTCAATAAAGCACTCCTTCTCCAGCCCATCGAGAGAGTAGCCGCGATCTCTGCTGTTGGGATTCACGCGCGTCAGCTCCCGCGACGTGTGCTGCGGAGACGACACGTGTTCATGTGAGAAGGGGTGCGACATCAATTGGTGCGTTTGTAGTTGGAGCTCAAACTTGCTGAGAAGGACTTGTCAACGGCGCAAGCGACGCACACACACACACACACACACACACACACACACACACACACACACACACACACACACACACACACAATAAACACAAACACACAAACACACACACACACACACACACACACACACACACACACACACACAAACCGTCTCGTGTACTGGGTTCCGGCGCCTAGCCATCGTGGGATCGCGGACCGATATGAGCGGCTCTGACGGACGGTAACCCCCAATCACTTGAGAACACAATCCCCGTTTTAACGTCCAGGCCTAAGATCACACACACACACACACACACTAACACAACACACAACACACACACACACACACACACACACACACACACACACACACACCATCTGCCCATCCATGCTCGATCCTCTCACCTTGACGCGGTCCTTGAGCGAGACCTTCTCGTGCAGCGGCTGCTGTCGTGGACCGACGGGCCGGTTGGCCTGGCGCACGTACTCCTGCCATGCCTGTCCACGGTAGTAGATGCTGGCCGTGGTGGTGGCAGTGCAGTTGTGGTGTTGGTGGTGGTGATCAGGGTGATGTTACGGCAACAGAGCCACACACACACACACACACACACACACACACACACACACACACACACACACACACATACACACACACACATACATACATGCATACATACATACATACATACATACATACACACACACACACACACACACACACACACACACACGCGTACATACACACACGCATACACACACACACAGCGGCAGCAGCCATACCCCGAGTCTGGCTTGTCGGGCCTCTGCACGGCGGTGTCCTGGTGGTGGTCCTCGCGTGCACCGGCAATGCGGCCGTCAGCTCCAACGCGAACGTTCGGCAGTGGGGGAGATGACGGCTGTGTTCCATCGCTTGCACCGCCCTGAGGCGTGTGGTGCTGCTGGCCATGCTGTGGTGGCAGACCATCGTCCGTGCCTGTGCTCTGGTCGTTGTCCTCATGTGCACCACTGTCATCACCGCCACCACCGTCGCTTGGTGTGTGCACGTTGGGCGGCTTGTTCGGGTGGGCGTTTGCTTGGCGGTGGCCGTGCTTGTGTCCGTTTGCAGGTGACGCGGGTGGTGTTGGATGGGAGGTGTTGTGTGGTGCATATTTGCCGGGTGCATTGTCGTGGTGCTGTGGCGTGACGTTGATGCCGACACGAGCCGCCAGCTGCTGCAGATACGCCTGCTTCTCGTGTATGCCGCGCAGGGCCTTCTGCAGGTGCTCTGTGGGCACGAGAAATGATCCGGAGAAGTTGCGGTCGCCCACGTGCAGCGCCATGTGGTCAACACACGTCAGCTTCTGCTGGTGCTCCGGCCCAATCTCCAGGCGGCAGTAGTCGTGCAGTGTGCCGCCCTGTTGTGCTTGTGGCTGTTGGTTTGGCCGATGTGGTTGTTGTGGTTGTTGTGGTTGTTGTGGAGGTTGTTGTGGTGGTTGTTGTGGTGGTTGCGGTTGATGTGTGTGTTGTGGTGGCGGCGTCGTTGCTGGTGTTGGTACATCGTGAGATGACGCGGCGCTTGGTGTTGTCGGAGGCGTTGCCTCCTGCTTGATCCTGTGTGACTGATGTGGTTGTGGCGACTTGGATGGAGATGCAGGGATGTCTGTGGATGACTGTTCGTGGTACGACGCGGGCCGTGTAGGACGGGAAGTCGCCTCTTGGTATGGAGGTGGTGGGCCAGTGTGTGAGCTGGTGCCGCCCACCGCAGGGTGGTGTTGTTGTTGTTGTTGTTGCTGCTGAAAGCGAAGTGCAGCGCGTAGCTTGTTGCAGCGCTCTGTGTACTGGTCTCTGGCCTTGATAAAGTCCTGGCGTCTTGCTGGAACAGCGTTTGATCGAATCAGTGCCGATAGCGTCGACACCGCTTCCTCATACAGTCGCAGCGCCTCCCTTTAGAGAGGTGGGCAGATGTGCAGGCGCGTGAGGAAACGAATGCGATCGTGGTGCAGGAAGGAGGGGGGAGATTGTCAACACGGCATTGGACACGCAGAGAGATCGAGAGATCGAGAGATCGAGAGAGACAGAGAGAGAGAGTGTGTGTGTGTGGAGGGGGGTTGAAGGCGGAAGGAGGAGGGCACAAAGGGAGGACGGAGAGAGGGAGGCAGGAAGAGACGCACTTGTTAAGTTGTTAACACACACACACACACATACAGACACACACACACACACACACACACACACACACACACACACACACACACACACACACACACACACAGAGCACAGAGCACAGAGCAGCCGTACCTGTGTTGGCCCTGGTTGTCCAGCTGGATGGCCCGTGTGACGACGGCACGGCATTGTACGGCCCTGTCCATCTTCACTTGTTGTCGATGAGATGAGATGAGACGAGAGAGGCAGGAGAAGAAGTGGGCAGCGGGGCGTAGGAAGGACACAACCTTCTCCTCGTCCTTGTCGTCAACTTCAAGCGGGTGGTGAATGATGACTCATCAATCCATCCCCCCAATACCAAACAAAGCAGCCGTGATGAAGGTGTGCGTTGTGGTGACTGGCGCGTCACGTGGGTTTGGGCGTGCAGTGGCGGAAACGCTGTGTGAAGGCTGGCACACCGCAGGGCATGCTGTGGACGCCATCATTACAGCTCGATCCACAGCTTCCTTGAAAAGCGTACAGGAGCAACTGAAGCCACACACAACGCGTGAGTGTACGCGTGTGTTTCTGTGAGTGTGGATGTGCGTGTGTGGATGTGTCAGTGGATTTGGTGTGAGTGGATGCGGTGTGAGTGGCTCACCATGACTCTTGTCTCGCTTTCACCCTTCCATTCTGACTCTTGCGCGTGCACGCCCTCCTCACACCCTCACTCTGGCTCTCTCACTTAGGTGTGGTGGCGCTTGGTGGTGATTTGGGAAACGCACAGGATGTCAAGACTCTCACACAGCGCCTGCTCGAAGAGGTATGATGTGATGTGCACCATGGTGCGAAGTCGTGACTATTCATCTTGCACTGGTGGTCCTTCTCTTATGAACAACACAAATACACGTGTATGCATACGCATGCGCATGCAAACACAGTTATACGCACACACACACACACACACACACACACACACACACACACACACACACACACACACACACACACACCCTCCAGACAAGTGCGAGCGACTATGACCGGTTGGTGGTGGTGAACAACGCCGGTACGCTCGGCGACATCAGCAAGCACGTGGCAGACTACGACAGCCTGGACGAGATGCACCAATTCATGATGACCAACATCACATCCGAGTTCTTCATCACGTGAGTCACAGCAATGAGGCATCTGGAAACGTTGAATGTGCTGTGCGTGCGCGCGATTGGCTCGTCATGCACACACAATACGCACACACATGCGCATTTGTCTTCTTGATCGCCTCTCTTCCTCTGCGCTTGTGCGCACCTTTGTTCTTTGCCCCCTTCAACACTCGCACTTCCATTTCGTTCCTTGACTCACTTCAGCACTATTCTTCCACGATGTTAACCACCATCACCATCACCACAGGTCCTCGTTCATGAAGGCGGCGAAGGCGTCCAACAAGCACGTGCGCATTGTGAACGTGTCTTCGCTGCTGGCGGTGCAGGCGCACGGTGGCTTTGCCCTCTACTGCGCATCCCGTGCAGCCCGCGATATGTACACCGCCGTCGCCGCCAAAGAGGTGTGCTGTGTGAGTGTGTGTCTGTGTGTGAATATGTCTGTGTGTGTGTCTGCGTGCAAGTGTGCGTGTGTGTGTTTGAAGATTGTGTCCCTTCACACTCACGTGAATACGTTAATGTGTTCGTTCCGTTACCCCCCCCCCTTGCGCCCTGCCACACGGTTCAGGCTGCTGGCACGGGCACGGTGCTGCTGTCGTATGCGCCGGGACCGCTGGATACGGATATGCAGGCCGACATTCGCGAACGACTGGCGAATGACGAGCTCCGAGCCGCGTTTGCAGACATGAAGGCAAAGGTGTGCTCGCGTTTGCACTTGCATTGGTGGTGGAAGGAAAGGCGGGGTTGGTCATGATGCTGTTGTGCTTTCAGCGTAGGGTGGAGTGTTTGGCTGCCGACTTCCATCACATACACACATGCTCTTTCTCTCTCTCTCTCTCTCCTTCGTCATCCGTACGTGCCCACATGCACACAACAACCAACCCCCCCCCCCTCCGCTCTACTGCCACCTCCACGTGAAGGGCACGCTGGTGACGCCTGCGAGCTCTGCGTCGAAGTTGTTTGAGCTGTTGGAGAGCGACGACTACGAGAGCGGCGCACACATCGACTACTACGACAAAGAGTAGGCCATCATGTGTGACACGTGTGTGTGAGTGTGACGTGTGCGTTGTCATTGCAAGTGTCGCTGCATCCGCCGTCAGCCCACTCTCATCACGCCCCTCACTCCACTTCACCCCAATCTCCTCACCCAATTCCGGTCCACAGGTACCCCAAGCGGACGTGAGGCAGCGGCAACGCACCTCCCCTCAGTGCTTCTGTTGTCGTCGTGTTCCAGTCATGTCATTCGATTCACATCAGTACACTCGATTGAATACACGCGTGCTGTTTAATTCTGAACAACGACCAATACAACGTGACAACAACCAGCGCAACGTTTATATGCTCAACTTTGTGGCAACCTCCCCGGCCAACTCACGGCCCTCCGCATCTTCCTCCTTCTCCAATGCTTCACCCTCTTCGCCTTGTTCCTGGTCCTCTTCGCCCTGTTCCTGGCCCTCCTCCCCAACATCACCACCTTCAACATCCTTCTCTGCGTCACCATCCCCTGCGTCATCATCATTATCATCATCATCGGCTTCATCGGCCCGCGCCGCCTCCTCTTGGCCGAGCTGTGTAAAGGCGTTGTATGTCATGGTCTTGCGCGACTGCGCCTCCTCCTGCAGCCGCTGGATGTACCTGTTTTGCGTCTCCACCATGTCTGCCGCGTTGTCGCAGGCCGCATACAGCTCCAGCAGCTCGTTGTTGAGCGAGAAGAAGGCGTGGCCCCACTTGAACTTGCCCAGGAGCTCCTCCGCCTCCTCCTTCAAGCCCACGATCCAGCAGCACGCCGCAAACGCCTCCACGCACGACAGCTTCAGTGGGCGGCCGTAGTTGACCGGGTTGGCCGCCACCAAGTACGGCAGCAGCCGGTTGTGGTACGCGCGCATCTTGTGGAAGGGCACCTTGTCCAGCTCTGCCCAGGAGCAGTCCACGACGGCGATGCCGTTCTCAAGCACAATGTCGCGATCGCGCGGCGACACGCACGCCGTCGCATTTGGGCTGAGCACAATGCCGTTGAAGGCGGACCGCGTCCGCAGCTCGCGGCACAGGCGCATGCGAATCAGCTTGCGCCCAGTGCAGCGGCGCGGGTCACACTGCGCAAAGTCCCACATGGCCAGATCAAGCACGCGCGGCGTGCCATCCTCATCGGTGTGACCCCGCAGCACAATGCCGTCTGCGTGATGACCTTCCTCTCCGCCGTGCCGATCCCCATCAAGGTCGCCAGGCCGGCCGTCGTGTGCCCACGTTCGGCGTTCCCGCCGTCCACCACCACCACCACCACGTCCACCACCACTGCGTCCACCGCCACCGCGTCCGCGGCCTCCTCGCCTGCCCATCCTCGTCTTTGTGCGCGTGTGCCTGCCTCGTCTTACGGAAGTTGAATGCAAAAGAAGTGTAAGTGCTTGCGGGGATATTTTCGCTTGACATTTCAGGTTCATATCTTGTGTCATACACTCGCACTCATCACACGCACTGACACACACACACACACTCGCACATACACACACACTCGCACATACACACACACTCGCACATACATTCACACACACAGACTCACACACACTCAAACACACACACACACACATTCACGCACACATACACATACAAACTCACACATCACGCCGTCAAGCCGCTCACCTTTGGGTTTTTACGAAGCTGACCGTAGTAGATCAGCAGGTACCCAACAACCTGTAAAACGGGGGAAGGGAGGGGGTGGGATCAAAGAGAAAAAAACAAGGAAGAAGGGGATAGTAGGGGTGCTTCACATGCGAGCCACACGTGCAAGCTGGTGTGTCGTGTGTGTTGTGTGAGTGTTAGGGGAGGGGGGGGGGTATGTGAGTGGGAGTGGGGTGAGAGCGCGAGGAGGTGAGGAGAGAAAGAAAGGGAGCGCGCTCGTCTGTTCTCTGCTGTCGACAATCGTTGGCAACAGCAACCTCGAAAAATCGCAAGTTTGGAAGATTTGTGAAAACCTTCAACAAAATTCGGCAAGATCTCGACGATGATGAACGCGTGCA